AAAAAAAAAAAAAAAAAACATCTTAGTAAAACCAATACCTTCTCAGCTTCGCATCGAAGCTAAAAGTATCAACATTAACTGTACTATGACAATTGTAATTTGTTGAGGCATTGCCATTATTATGGGAATTGAGGAGAATTTTTTCGATTTTATGAAGCTGATAACTCCAACAAAATACGTTTTGTTATATTTTGGCATATCATGAAGCTAAACCGGTCAAGTAGAAACACAGTAATCATGTCATATAAAAAAAATACACATCAAAGTAAAACGAATACTTTCTCGAGAATGTGATCAACTATGTAACAAAGTTAAAACTATTTTTATTACTTAAAACTCCCATAACTTTTTGAAAAATTTATTGATTAATAGAAAATTTTTTATAGATAGATCAGGTATTTACCTATCATTTTATATCTTTTTTATAAATCTGACCCTTTACCTGCCCACAAGGAGGGGTTCAAAATGACAACTTTTTCAAAAAAAATTAAATTTTTCAACTTGACTTGGAAGTGTTCCGAAAATACTAACAATTTTATATATATCATAAATAAAAGCTTATGTTATTTACTTAATTATGAAAAAAAAAATTTCTAACTTTACTTTGTCTTCGTGTTGAAAATGGCCACCGTATTCAAAAATATGCTATTTTTGTGTTCAAATTCTCAATTTTATATTTTATTTTAGAAAATCTTACAAAAATTTTTAAGTCAGAAAAAAATGTTTAACTCATTTGATTTTTATCTCATTTAAATTCAATAACTTCAATGAATATTATTAAGGACCTCTTCACTGTAGTCCCTCCTCGTTTGAAGAAATTATACAATTATTAAAATTATTATTTTTTTTTTTTGTTTTCAACCGTTCGGTTGGTTAATACCAATTGGATTGGTATATCCTGGGGAAATTTAAATGCAGTGGTTTCCCGTTGCCTTCTGCACTGGGAACATGGTGCTTTTTCGCCACCGTAGAAGCGCACGTATGGTCACCCATCCGTGCACCTACGGCGGTAGGCGCGGCTTAACACTAGAGTTTTGTCAACAACTAGTGTGACCACCGCGCCATACTACGCCCCAAAATTATTTTACTAGGTGATTTTTTTTGTGGCTCTCACTTGAAAAACTTTTTTTAGCGATACATCAAATGATCACAACTATTATCTAGTTAAAGATATTACCCTCAAAAATTGAAAATTTTTCCACTTTATCAATTAAAAAGTTTCTTAGTCCACATTTTCCATTTAGACAATTAAAATTATTAATTTCTAATGTTTTTAAAGTATTTGTTATCTTATTAAGTTTGATTTGATAATAGATTTCACTATAAAATTAAATAATTTTACTTTGTAATTTATTAATTTTTTTAACTTTATTTGTGTATGTTACTACGAATCTATAATATTCCAAATTTTTTGGTAACATGTTGATATATAAATCATAAATTTAAAGATAAATTATTTTTAGTTTCACCTGAATTTAACAAAAAATGTTTACAATTGTAATCAAATTTTATAATACGCTCAATTGAGTAGATTTCACTGTATAAATTATTGAATATCAATTTCATACTAAATTTAATTACTATTAATAGTATTTAATATATATTATATTTTTTAATCAAATAACGACTAATCAGTATATAATTAAGGAAATAGGAGTTGATGTTGCTTTTGTTTTTTTATAGTGCATTAACAAACAAAATAAATATAACGCAATGAATTAATGAGAGATCTATTAATAGTTATTTTTATATATATTTACTGTAAAGACAAAGTTTCATCATCTATTAAACTTTCAATAAAGTCATCATCTGGAAATGCTTGATTTTGACAATAATTACGTTGACTATCAATAAGGAAATCTTGAATTTTTTTATCAAAATACTTGTAAAATAACATAGGTTCCACAATTATTTTATATTCATCTATCATATTCTGATATTTCGGTATTAGCGGGTTTTGAATTTTGCTACAGAATTGTTTAAAAACATAATCCAAATCATTATTTAATGTACTAAATGGTAAAAAAATTTGGCCAAAATCAAGTTCTGTACCAGATTTTATAAGATATGATTTTTGTTTAATTTCTAAAAACTGTTTCTTCAATTGTTTGGACTTTGAGATAGAATAGAATTTTTTCAATGGTAAAATTAAGAATGATGAATTAGATTCGTCTAAAGTGTTTAAAAATATTAATACTTTATATATAAAATATGTGCTGGTAAAATTATTCGTCGTTCGCTCATATAGTTTTGAAATACAATAAGGAATGAATATTTTATTAAACCTTTCATCACTGCATGCTTTAAAAAAGTAGCTCATTAAAGTTGTATAAGAAAGCAATATATATGCATACTTGCACGATAAAAAATGATTAATATATTTTGGTGTAAGTTTTAATCTTTGTAACTCGTCTAGATGTTTAAATTGATATAACATATATAGATTTCCGTTTTCCTTTATTTCGACATCATCAAAAAACTTCCAATTTGTGTTCTTAACAATATTATCAACTAGATCTTGTCGTTCATTTTCTAACGTCATAACATAAAGTATGAGCCCTATTGATGATAAATAGAAAATCATAATTTTAAACATTATTTTCTTACATAAATAAGAAGAAATTAAATACATAATGGTAACCAATAAAATAATTAATAAGTTAAATAAATTTATATTTTAGAAAAATTTTATGCAACTTCATAAAGAATTAAATGTAGTTTTCATAATAAAAATAAAAGTCAAAGATTTTTTTTTACAAAAATACGTAAACTATTATTAACTACCTATTATGATAATTTATGAGCTTTGAACACCTTTTAAATAAAATTTTCAGCAACATAATTTATGATTATATAAAAAGAAATTTATTTCATAGTTTTTTATTAGTTTAAAAATGGTTTCTATTAAAAATAGTTTATTACAGTTCTGTGTTTTTCAAAATTTTAATATACTAACATTATTTTTAACCAGCTTAGAATATCAATTATCACTTAAGTTAATCTTAGTAGAGTTTTAGAAAAGTTTAAATTTTTGAATTTTTAAGTTTTGATGAACAAAAAATTTGTTCATATCATTGACCTTATGCTAAAAGTTTTTAAGTGTAAAAAACCTTTACACATAAAATATTAGCATCAAATTAATTAAATAAATAATTAAAATTTTATCTAATTATTTAATAATTAATTAAATTTTATAATTAAATAACTAATTATGACCAAATTATGTTGGTTAAAATGAAGAAATAAAATAAAATCATAGTAAGAAAGAATAATGTTTATTTTTATTAAAATATTTTGAATTTTTTTTATTTACTTAATTATGTATTTGTAAAATTTAAGTGTCAGTAATGGGTAACGTTTTTATAAAATATTTCACATTTTATTTTATATTAATACATACTTATTGTGCTTTAAATTGTATATTTCCCCGAAAAAAAATAAAAATACATATTTTAAAATTTAAAAAAATCCAAAATAATAATAATTAAGTATTTATAAATAAATTTTGATAAAAAACTGTTTTTTTTCTTAAAGCTGTTAAAAATACTTGATTACTTGGCTTAAGGTGACAATATACAGATTATAAAGTGTTCTGCTAAGTTTTAACTTGATATGACTTTTACTGTAAAACAAAAAATTGCTCTTTATTATTTCCTCAACAAATACTGATTATAAATTAAATATTATCATAAAATTGTATTTCTGTAATATTAAATTCAATGTTTTAAAACTATTCAGTTTCAATTAAAATTTTGATTACATAGTTTGTTTGTAAATAATTTATAATTTTGAATTTTAAAACTCTTCAGTAGCTTTTATACAACTTTATAGTATTAAATATTTAAATGTTAATTCTAACATGAAAAAATGTAATTAACATGTGTTTTCTAATCGTTTTGTAAAGAAATAGGCATTTGTCTTCGAGTTAATTAAAATTTATACCATTACTTTTTTTATAATACTACATTTTAAAAAATCGCTTTTTGCATAAAATCAGATTTTTTATTGTTTTAGCATCCATAAATAATTATAATAGTACCATTTATTCAGTGTTTACATATACTTTCTTTGGATGCCATAATTTATACTCATTCATTTTGAATTTTAAAACAGAAATCACTAAAAATTGCCAACAATTTTTTACTTAATACAATGGAGGTATTTTTATCTTGAAATAGTTAAAAGATTTTTTTGGCCTCCGTGTTTTTTTTAACTTTAAGAATATGTCTTAGTAATATCTGGATTTTGCATATAAATGAATTACAAAGGTGCTTTATGATAAAAATAGAGCGTCACTTAACACTACACCCTCCTCTCGCCTTTTCTAATTCTTCAAATACTATTAACTCTAAAAGTAATGATACAAAAATCGTTATAGACCAATCAAAATTCTCCAATTAATAGTAAAAAAATAATAGATTCTATTAACCTTTTGTAAGTTACTCCTAAAATTTAACCTTAGAAATAACTTTCTGATAATAAACTGTACATTTACAATGATTTATAAAAATAAAATAATTTTTAATCTATATGCATTTACGAAAAAGTTATTATTTAATGAAAAAATATAGTTTAAAAGGGTGTTTTTTTAAATTATATTTATTTTTTATTTTTAAGTTTCATGTTATGATAGTAGTTACTATCAATATCATGGTTGTAACGGGTAACGGGAAATCAGGGTTCGATTCCGGGGAGGCTGTCTGAGAAACGGCTACCACATCCAAGGAAAGCAGCAGGCGCGTAAATTACCCACTCCCGGAACATGGAGGTAGTGACGAAAAATGACGATACTGGATTCATCCTTTGTAATCGGAATTAATGAGTTCTATGTCTCTAATTAAGAATAAAGTGTGTTAATATATATTTTTAATAGTAATTAGAATATATATATATATACATGTAAAGCGACTTAAGTACGTAAACGTATCATGCATTAGGTACAGTCGTGTTTTGTGGGCAGGCGGGTCGGACTAACGTTATACCTGAGGTATAAACGGCGGTAAGAATATATACGTAAGCCGTATGCACGCGGATGATAATGGTCAGTCAAAATAAAAATTTGTTTATATATATACAGAGTGTTCAGTAAGTCAGGAAACGGGTATCTATTGTTCTCATTGTTACAAACAATGAGAACAATAGAAACCCGTTTCCTGACTTACTGAACACCCTGTATAGCTAGAGATATAATTCCAGTTGTATAATTAGTATGGGTCCNAATATTGATAACACGCATGTGTGTATGGGTACGATAACCAAAAATAAATTTATACGGGAATAGTATTGCCGGCGTGTGATGAGCGAGGAGTGGGGCGGGGTGAATGCGTTATGACAGCCTAGTCTAGACGACGGAATATGCGATAACGCGTGGCGTTTGGAGAGTTACAAACATGCATACATACATACATACATACAGGTGAAACTAATATAAGCGTGTTAATAATGAAAAGCAGTATGCCTTATAAATCACCTGTATTCACTTTATAATGTAACTAAAATATATTGAATTATTTATCTTTACTTGTTATTACTCTATTTGTTTATCTTATTTTAATATTTTAAAAACGCAAACAATACTGGCTATAAAATGGATTATAAAGTGTTTTTCATTGCATCACATAAATAAATAACTTAAAATACTCTTTAAAAACAGTTATAAACTACATATCTACCTAATTAGTCAATCAAATACAATAATTCATTTATCAATGTATTTGAAATACAAAAATACTTTCAAAATTTACAATTATTGCACATTTAAAAAAATTGAGGTTCTTTTAACAGAATAAGTCTTTAGAATTGATTTCATCATGTAATTTTAAATCTATATATTATACCTCTTTTTTAAATACTTGAGCTACCACTTAAAATCGGCAATATAATAAACATTAAACTATAATTAAAAATATTTTCAAATACTTTAGTTACCTTTTGTTATTCTTAATTAAATAAGATGTTAATTTATAAAAATTGCAGTTTGTTTTAATATTCAATAAAACAAATGAAAAAAATGTATTTTTAGAGGTTTTCAACTACTGTTTTAAAAAATTAACAGAAAAGGTGGTGGTATAATGCAACAGTTTCCTTCGTGGTCCTATTTATTTAAAAAAAAAATAAATAATAACATAATAAGTATATCAAATAGGCTAACATATAATTATAATATGATTATTTTGTTACATACAATTAAGTATTATCTCCGGAAGCAAGAATTTTTTTCAAATTATTGTTCTTATCCATTCAATTAAAAATTAAACATAATAACTTGATAAAAATTGTTTGATTGGAATATTAATGCAAATAATAGCAGATTTTACTTCAAACTATTTTACACAATTACATTTTTTTTTATATATAATGAGATTACACACAAAAAATGTCTACATATAAAATCTAAAGGGTAAAATATGAAATTTACAATATACTACATATACATACAAAAAAAAAATACATCATTACTACTATTTTGTAATTAAAATTAATAGTATTTTACAATCCTTATTTACAATTTAATACTATAAGTCAATAAGTTAATAAAATAAGCAAAATTTAAGTTAGATGCACACTTTGTGGTGCACTGAATGGACCAACTCTAGTATAAACATCCACTGCTCGAACTGCAAAATGGTATTTTTGACCTTGCATAAACTAACAATAATAAAATATTTACTTTATTAATTTAATCATAATTATAAGTAATCCATATCATACTTGAGTAAGAGAACAAGCCATTGGTAGTGGAAGTGCATTTACCTCACCAATCTTCTTCCAAAGATCTTCTTTTGGTGGTTCAGTAGTTTCTTGATAAGCATAAATTTGATAATTTGTTATTTCTGCATGTGCTTTATTAATAATAAGATTCCATGACAATACGAGTCCTAATTTAAAAAGTATATTAGTCACATTTGTTTATAATTAATTATAATTGTTCTCCAATAATTTACCTTTAGGTGTCTGATTTTCAGGAGTTTTAGTAATATTAAGCTTAGGTGATGGAGGAAGTTTTTTCCAAGAAGGTAAGTGTCTCTGATTAGGAACTTCTGGTAATGGTGCAGGGTGCTATAAATAATAATTTAGGTTACTAATTTATTTATCAACTTTACTAAATTTAATAGACCAACCAAATTATTTACTAAGTTGTCTTTATTTTTTTTTATGATTCTTACCAAATATCGTTAATTACTTGATATACTATATAAATTTCCACAACTAATTTATTAATAACTTATGCTATACTTACTTTGATGGATACTTCAGATAATGTTGTTGGTACTTGAATCTGAATTTGGTTTACTTTAGATTGTTGAATTTTACATGTACTTAAAGGAACAGCAGTAGGTGGCAATTGCCGTGAATTCACTGATGAAACTAAAATATGATGAAGTTAATTTATAATTTTTTTTTCTCAACAATGAATCTACTTTACTTTGTAGAGGAATCATTTTTCCATTTTTGAGTAGGAATGGCCGAACACTTTTAGGTGAATTAGGATTAGTTGTGGTCAATTTTTTAACACTAGTTAACTGTGTACCCTAAAAAATTTTGTAAAATGATACAATAAATAATATTTTAACTTTTATTAGGAATTAATTTTTTACAACTCGAAAACACAGTAATTATGAATATGTGCATGAATGGTTCTAAATATTTTAACCAGGAAGGGTTAAACACATAATCAATAATGAATAACATTTAACTTACTGATGCGGCAGTTGTTTTGACAATAAAATTAGTACTTGTTGGTATTCCAATATAAGCAACAGTTTTAGGTACAACTTGTGATGAATTTCGGTTCTACAAAAAATAATAATAATTACATTTTTTTTTTCTATTATATATTAATAGTTGTATTTAAAAAAAGTACAATAATTAATTTTTTTAGGGAATTTTATATTTTACACTATACAATAATAAAGAAATCTATTGCTTTTTAAAATACACCATACTCATCAGTTGTTTATGGATAACTGTGTTTTAATAAACTGTTTCCTGGTCTTTTTTTTAATTTCACATTAATAGAGCCATCCACAATAATAAAGAGTATAAAATTAAAATCTTTTTTTAACATATAATTAATTTATTTCACCTTTTTAACAATTTTCTTAATGAGTTAAACCTATTTAATACCTTGGGTTTCAATCCTTTATTTTCACTAAAAAGTTATTTAACATTTAAACTGATATTCTTTATTATAATGAAAAATATTCCCTTAAGAATTTCTTATTCATAATTTAAGTTAAATTAATTACTATGTTTCCTGTAGGTGATGATGGTAGAACAACTTTATTCACCCCAGACCTTCGTAAGATTTTAACTGGTGATATTTGCTGTTGTACTGCTAAATTATTTGATACGTCATTTACATCATCATTATCAGTTAAATCTATGGTACTAGCATTATTATTGGTGCAGTTCAAAGGCAGTGATGGTGGAACATCTTTAGCAACCAATACCTGAGTTGATTTAACCTTAATTGATGAATTTAGTACCTAAATCCATAAAATATAAAAAAACTATCATGGAAAATAAAAATGCAATCGAACCTTTACAGGTGATGGCTTCAATATTATTTGTGTTGAAGATGTTGCAGTAGAAGTATCTGTTAATGCAATAACATCATCATCAATTATGTTGTCACCATTTTTATTGTTTACTTGCAATGGCATTAATCTTTTAGGTAATCGTAAGCACTCCTGTAAAATAAAATAAGATTCACTTTTATACAGTTTCATTCACTGTAGATATATATTATTTTCTATAATTTATTTAAAATCTTTAGTAAAGATTTGAAAATGTAATAATAATTGTGAAAGAAAACTTCACAGAAAAAAACTAACTATTCTTAAAATTGAAAACTAATTTGTAGAGTAATATAATTTTATTTGATAACAGTAAAGCTGCCTTTTCCAAACCCATTACATGTTAAAAATATTTACCTGAAAATTGTATTCTTAACTACAATGAAAGAAATGGAAAAACGAAATGTATCAAATATAAGTTTATTAAAATCTATTCTTTAATAAATAAATAATAAAAAAATATTTTACATGAATCACACTTTAAAAATATATTTTTATCAATTATATCATTAAAAACTTATCAAACCAACTGTTACAATGTTTAACTTCATAAATATGAAATTGATGGTTTGGATAGAATTAAAGGAGCGTATTGACCAATTTCTTACTTTTTAGCATAACAAAATTTTGTTTCTTCTAAAAAAAAATATGCTTTTCAATATAACTAATGGTAAATCATTTTCATATTAAGAAATATTTTACATATAAGTTAGACTAATAATCAAAAAATTCTAAATTTAGTTTATATGTTTCTATAATTTTAGACCCTTGAAATATGACACATAAAAATTTATCAACATTTTGATCCCCTTTTAATTGACATTGCTATGAATCCCCGATGGAAAAAAAGATTATTATTTAAATTACAACATTAAATATTTCCTTGATTGAATTATTTAGAAAATTAAAAACTCAATGTCATTAATAATATGTTGATTACTAATAATATAATTACTAAGTTACTTTATATTTCAAACCTTAAAATCTAATTCAAGAAAAAGTAAGGATCACTTGATTTCATGAAAATAATCTTATGTATTACTAATACACATTATTTAAATATTTTCTTTATCTGCATCACTTACTTGATATTAAAAAAATTAAACAATACCTAAATCAGTTTACTAATTTTTTTAATATACATACCTTAGGACATAAAATAGCTTGCAATCCCACAGTTCGTGTAATTATATGTGGTTTTGCATTTTCATTAACTCTTAAATCGGCTTTGTGTTTATTAATAATGGTTCTTAACTCTTTCACTTGTTTAGCTAATGATTCATATTTCATTCGCCAAATTTTTTCTCTCTGCATTAGTAAATGAATTTCAGACCGTTCTTTACCCATTTTATTTTTTTCAGTAATATTTTCAGCAATTTTTTGGGAACATAGGCTTTCAAATTGCTGTAAATAATTGTTTCTTATTTAATTTAATATATAATAAATTAACATAAATAAGTACACGAAAATTATCCTAAAATTTTAAGTTTTTTTTAATAATATACTTGTTAAAATTTTATTTTTAATAAATAATTTCTCCATTTTCTTAACCAAGTTAAAATTATAACATCCAATTAAAACATTTTGCATATTTTTAATAAATGTTTATTTTTTAACCTTCTTTTTATAGTACATAAACTTTTGATAAATCCAATCATTGTTTAGACAATACTCAATTAAAAATCTTAAAAATTACAATAAATATAAAAATGTGTATTATCCTTTTTATAAAATTAACTCTTAACATATTAATTAATATTATAAATGTTTAAACAAATATTATTGATGTAATAAAACGCTTCATTAGTAGACATTTTTTATATAATGATAATATAAGAGCTTTAATAATAAAATTATTAATTAAAAATTTTAGACAAATATTAAAATAATACATTTCTTTACTAAAAACTTAATTTGTTAAGAAATTGGAATAAACAAAAAACTATATACACTTTTAGTTAAAATAACTTATTAAAATGCAATCAGCTGAATAAATTAGTTTTTTCTCAAAAAAACAAATTAGGGATATTAAATATTATTCATTGAACCCTATCCTTAGAGCTACAGTAAAAAAAATGTAATAAATAAAAGTTAAAAAATTAGTATCTGCTTGTTGGTATATTGACTAATTTTAATAATTATGTTTAAAAAAGTAAATAATTGCCTTACTTCAAATGTTAATTTTTTTCTACTGAAAAATTTCAGCAATGCAGGAAAATTTTCTTTACTTAATTTTGTATTTCCTTTAATTACTGATTCAATTGTATTACTATCATCAGATTGATCACTTTCCATATCAGATTCAAGAATAACTTCACAATCATTATCTAATACATTTGTATTATTAGAAACTTCTTTTTCTGCCACATTACAATTACTTGCTGTGTTTTTCTTTTTATTTTTATCAACGCTATTCAAGGAAGGTATTTTGCTAATACTTTCCTTTTCATTTATTTTGGACGGTTTTGGATCATTGTTTTCATTTTGTTCATAAATTATTTCTTCTATCATTTCTACATCTGAGTCTCTTGTTTCTGGCTCTTCAATACAATCTAAATTATCTTTGGTATTTGATAATTTATTCTTTTCAGAGTGTTTACATTCAATTGTTTCATTATTATCAATATGTTTATTTTTATTGTTTACATTTTTTGTGTTGGTACTGGGTAGTTTAGATTTATTTTGCATACAACTTTCATTTCCCTCTGACTGTTTTTTTTTATCATTTATAATAGAACAATTATGATTATTTATTGAATCAGTTACATCTGAGTCAGATTGATTTGAATTTTGACAATCTATTTTAATATTAGAATCTAAAGTATTATTAAAATCATTATTATTGCATATAGAATTTAAAACACCATTAATAGAATTTTCATTAGATACATCAGATGTCTTAATACTATTTATTTCTTCTATGCTGGCAGTTTGGCACAAATTATTTGTAGAATTATCTAAATTATCAGTACTTTCATTACTATCATCATTCAAAATAATTTCATCAATTGATTTTGAATCATTACTATTACAAGTGAGTTTTACTTTTTTGCTATTTCCAACTTCTAATGACTTATTGTCTAGAGCTCGCTTTAAATTTAAACACATATTTGTCTCCACTTTTGTCTGCTCATTAGTTTCACAGCTGTTATCATCACCTGAATATAAAATTCATCATTAAATTATTAGTCACATAGATGTTGTCTAAAAATATAAAACTAACATATAAAATAAAAATAACATTTATTTTCAAAATTCGTTAGCATGAAGCATAAACTCATTGATGGTATGTTTTAATTTTTTTTTATTTATAATTACAAAAGCACAACAATTTATATTTTTTACTTGTTGAGTTAAGTTAGTTTTACCAAGTTGGTACTAACTTAATAGTAAACTTTGTTAAGTTACCAGTTAAATTTAAAAAATAATAATAACTTTTTATCATAAGTTAGCTAGCAGAAATGTTTACTGTCCATAAAAAAAGTAATTTTTTAGGAAATTAAAAATTTCAACTATATACCATAAAATCTACCAGGAAATCTATTTTTTAACAATTTATAATATTCCAAAAAAACATAAATATCACATAATTTTGTTATTGTTATTCAACACATAGACAGTTATCTCAAATCCGAAACCTTTAAGAGGTACAATTCATATATATATATATATTATTTTTTTTTTAATTTCCCAGAATAAATGTATTCTTTTTCAGTGCAATACTAAATTGTCCATCAATCACAATTACTGAACATTAACTTTACTTATTATAAAAAAACAAAGTTTTTTATTAAGTTAATGTTACTTAACATGTTAAGTTACCATTTAAGTCAGTGAATAAAAAAAAAAAACTAGTTTGCTTAAAAAGTTAAACTGACTTAAACATTTAACTTATCTTATAACTTCAAATACACTAATGATGTAATTATAACCTTTTGATGCACACATATATGATCATAATACTTAATGATGTATATTCATATACATAAAACAATTATAATAAAAAATGAACAATAAAAATATTGTTAATGAGTTTTTGCATCAAGCTGATAATTAATATATTTAAGAATTTGAGATTTCTCATTTAGAATTGAAAAATAATAAGACCTTATTCAAGAATTATCAAAATTAACTATTGACTATTTAATATACCTACAATAGATACGTGTATATATAAAATCCATGGTAAATTTATCATCAGAACTTAAAATCAATTTATTTTATTAATTATTAATTAAAAGCTAACACTTAGAAAACTCTTTCAAGTATAAGAAAAATCAGCCATACCCTTAACACACAATTAATAAACAATTTAAAACAAGTTTTAAAACTAAGTAAAATAATATTTTCTTTAAATAATAACATCAACATTTATTTACTAACATTCAATTCAATATAAATCATGTTGGATGTTTTGATACAATATGAAAATTAAAACTAAAAAAGTATAAATTTTAAACTTACATTAAATTTTATAAAAAAATTAAATAATAGGCATTCAAATAGACATGAAGACAGCTTTCAACTAATATAATTTATCAATTTTTATCTAAAATTTTCTTTGTTTAATAAAAAATTCTGTAGAAATCTAATAATACAAACTCAAAAAATTAAAAAATTAAAGAACCATAACATGTAAATATTATTGAAAATTAAATATATATAAATATGTTAATACAAAAATAAATTATGGGTTAGCTAATTGAAAAAATACAATTTAGTTTCAATTCTAGAATAGTAAATTCCAGAATTTTTAAATAAATTCTTACTTGAAAATTATACTACATTTTAAAATGTTACTCACTCAAGGAAGGATTTTCAACATTAGAATTTTCTTTATTTCCTACAGAGTTTACCAAAGTTTGAATAGCTGTTTCTGAAGGCATATTTAAATAACTTCAAAGTTTCAACTAGAATTATTTATTTAAAAGTAGCATAAGTGTCAATTCTATTAAGTTCATCACATTAAAACTATTGCAACATTGATATATATCAATTGAATGCACAATAAGCATTAAAATAAAATAATTTATTGTAAACAATATTTTCACTTGATAAAATGTACGAAAAAATTAATATTGTGTAAGCAAATATAACGAACAAGATAACAAAAATAAAACCTGCAAAAACGATAATTTGTAAATAATATTATTATTTTTTGTTATCGTACAACGACCGATGAAAGCATGATCATATTCTGATCACCTTCTCGGTGTACCAAATTAATAATGACCAATAAGAAACGAGATAGTCTTATCAATAATAGTTAATATAAAACAATGTTGTCAAATTTCTAAATTAAACTCAATTGAACCCGATTATTTAAAGTACTTTTCAATTCAGTGGATTGGCAATTCTGATTATTTTTAAAATTACCATTTTGTTCTACCAAGTCAACACATTACTAAACTTTTTTTTACAGCGTTGCCGCCACCACATCATCGCGTTGGTCGGCTATTGACCAATCTAAAAGTTCCAAGAAATATTGTTATACTTACATTTGTTAGTTTCTCTTGTTAAAACAATGAAGAGGTGGTATTTAACCAGAAGGTAATAGTATAGTGCAAGTGTTTTAAGTAACACAATTTTTTTGTTATGAAGTACATAATAGAAAACATTGAACACAAGTGTTTATTTAGTTCATATAACCCATACTTATAACTTAGAAGTTACAAGTATATAATATTAAAAAATAAAAGGTCATCAAAATGATTTGGAACTACAGTACTTCTAAAAAATATCTCTTGCATCACTGGTATGGTAATTGGTTGTTTTTTAGTTTAATTATTGGTAGGGTAGTTGCCCGGAGCTATTTAAATATGCCACTATTTACAAGTACAATATTTTAGGTATAAATTTTATTTATTTGTAATCGGAAGTTAATACATTTATTTAAAAAAATGTAAAGGAAAAATATTTCTTATTGTGTTAAGTTATAGAAAAACCCAAAGAGAGAGATGTGAAATAAAGATAAACAATGACCTATAATTATCAAGGTACACGCCCGAGACCTAGTGTATTGAAAGACCTCAATTTTTTGCAAAGTGAAAATATTTTATTAAATTTTTAATTTCATAATATCTTGAAATAACCTAGACAAGACCACATTTAAAGGAAAATTATGTAAATAGTAAGTGTACTTTTTTAAAAAGAAGTTGAATACCTAAACTCTTTTTTATCCAACGCCAATAACCATTTACTATTTGAAATGCACTGAAGCCGGCAAACTTAATACCACGACATACAGTAACGTATTTAAGTGAATGAGTTTTAAGAATTTAATAGAATTATTATTATGAAGGAACTATAAAAGCACTACTCAATAAATTTGCTCATTAACAAAAATACCTATTAACAAACACAATAGAAATTTAATATTCAAAAAGTAAAAATAAACTGAACTTAATGTCAGTATTATTCGTTTAAATATTCTTACATTATAAAATATCTTCATTATTACATTTTTAACTCGAGTTTTCTAAAATCTACGTACTTCCTATATAAATATATACCCCCTTTTAAAACATGCTATATTAGGAGTACTTCACAGGGACTACTTCAGCTTTTATAACCCTATATTAATGGATTATGATATATACACACCATACATTAACCATAGAAAGGGAACTCATTTTTTAGAATATGAAAGGATTCCCCACGCGTCTCAAAATGTCTATAGTTGGATTTCGTTAGGTTAATATACCGCTTCTTTACCTTTTGATTAATTTGGGGCTGATTCACAATGTGGTGGTGTAAGTTTTAGAGACGGCGTGTCTCTAAAAAAATGCTGTGAGGCTTTTAAAGTAATGCCTCACGGCAGTTCCAGGGCGGTCCACAATTATGCCGGTCGTGGAAAAAAAAATATATTGTCTCTAAATGTACAATTTTATCCTTCACAATTCTTCTGTAAGGTTACGAATTGCTGTTTTTAACGTTTCGATGTATATTTAAAACAGATTATAAAAATAATCTATTATATTTACCAGATTGAGAAATTTCAAAATTTTACCAACCTTTAAATTGGTAGAAATTTGTGAAACCAGCGATAGGATCAATGAATTAAAGGTTATTTTTTATTTTATAAGTTCTTTCAAAATCTATTTTATTAACGGAGTACAATTATAATAACAGATCCAATTAAAAATAGCCCACCGACACATCATTAAATCGTTCATATAGACCTGGAAAATACCTTCAACATTACACTCTCCTCACCGTGTGGTTCCTTATCAGTGACTGAAAAGCAAGAGTATTTTAGTGTTGAAATTTTATTTAGTCTTGTCATAGGCGCAACTAGAACAAAATTTTAAAACAAATATTTTAGAGTATTAATTGTATTTCATCTCCTAAAAATAATTTTTAATAATAATATAAATAATTTTCGAAATCAAAATTTGGGGACCTAAACACACTAGTCGTCTTAGTTGCGTCTTAAACGATTTATGAGACTTAATCTAATAATTAGTGGATTAATTTAACGTGATAATATATTCTAAAAATAAACTTTAGGATTAATTAGATATAAAAATTTATTTACATTCAGTAGTTAGGATTCACATGATATAAGTTAATATAAATAAAAAAAGTTCAGTGGTGAGGGGCTTACAGCTACCACAGACGTAATTTATTATACATGATTTTTATCTTCTTCCAATAACGGCACAAGCTTTTGCGGGGCCCTGGTTAAAATAAATAGTAGTAATATTACTCAGTAATGTCAGAAGTGCGGAACCTTAAATATAACTTTAAACTACAAGTTCTGGAGTAACTACCCCCTCTGGTCCTTACTGTTCCCTCCCAAGGCAAAATTACTGACAGATTCATTTGACCACCCCACTGAACCTTCATCAAGAATTTAATTTTAAAATTTATCTTATAAACTTTGATATATTTTGAAATGAATAAAAAATATTTGGATTAATGATTTCCAAAACTAAAAAAACAGCGAAATAAATATCTTACACTACTGCCTCGTATGGATTGTAATAATTTTTTCCCAATTCCACCATCAACTTCAATAAATAATATAAGTCCTTCTCTTTCTTTTTTTTTTTTGTTACTTAATAGCATATAATTTTATATGAATTTTTTAAAGAATTAAATTAATTGTATGTTAAAATGAAACTGACTTCAATGATGATCAAGAGAATGGAGTATGGCTTTAGAAGATAAGGTCAGCGACCTTCGCTCTTATCAGTGTTCCGCTTATTGTCCGCAAAAGCGCTGTTTTTAAGGGAATTTGAGGTTATACGTATGTATAAATATACAAAATACAAGGTTATTTTATCTAATAACCTTGTACAAAATATACTTTTGTAACCTCAAATATCCCTAAAAAATAGGATTTTTATGAACATCTGAAACGTTTATGACTTAGCGGAAGTATTAAAACAATATATGCAGGGTAGCGTACTCAGACCTTATATTTTAAAGACGTCGAATAGAGATAACAATGAAATTATCACAGATTATATTTTCATATAGTTGATTTCAATCATCTGTAATCAACTCAAATAATTTTATTATACTCTATCTAAATGATCTGATTAAACATAAATATTTTAGTTAAATCCTCTTGTTGACAATTCTAATTTCAATAGTATTTAATATTTTAATAAAATTATGGAAAATACTGCTACGATAAAAAAGTAATTAGCAAAAAAAAATTACATGTTGTTAATCATGACAGCCTAGTAAAATTTAAGCCGGGGCTTTTATACAAAGTATCTTAAACAAATTATTTCTCATAACTTCTTAAAAACAAATTTTTATTGTTCTAAATTATTAAAATTTGCACACCGATATAGGAATGTTGATGGAGAGTAGGCGTGTAACAAGAAGAGGAATGTTAACAGAGTCAAATGCACCGCGAACGTCAACAATGACGGCTGTTGTAAATTGGCGGTTACAAAACGAATGGTACACGGGACCAACAAGAGAGGATAGGCATTCCATTGTGCCCAGTCCACGTCGAAAACCAAACTTTTCTTCCAACTATTAATAAAGCATGGCAAGATAAATGGTCAAATTTTTCTTTAGCTAACTGGCATAAATCTATAGTTCCAACTATCCCTAAACGTCCTTGGTTTTACAACCTCCCTCTGTCCCGTTTCCATATTATCTCTTTTTCCCGTCTTAGATTTGGTCATAATCGGTTACCTAGTCATGCCTTTAACATGTCTCTAAACCCTTCCCCCTTCTGCCCCAAACAAAATGATGAAGTCTCCTGTAATTTTCCTCATTTACTATTTGATTGCCCAGCTTTACAACATAACCGTTTACTCTTGTTCAATTTCCTGTCCTCCCTTAATATTTCGCCCATTAATAGTTTTAATATCCTTAATACAAAATCCTCCTCAATAATTATACATATAATTTCCTTCGTTCATTCAGCTGGCTTCGTTATTTAATATTTTTCTGTATGTTAATTTAATATCCTAGGTCTACTTTGTTTTGTTCTTTCTTTTTTAGTATTTTGAGTATGTTTAATTTATTAATTTAACGATATGTTTAATTGTGTTTAATAACAATATTTTTTTTTTCTTTTGTATAGTCTTAGTTTCTATTGTATAGTTTTATTTTAATTGTTTAGCTATAATAATACTTCTGTATTGAAAGCTAATAATAAAAAAAAAAAAAAAATTTAAATTTTGGCTAAAAAATTAAAAAAAAAAAAAAAAAANAAAAAAAAAAAAAAAAAAAAAAAAAAAAAAAAAAATTATTAAAATTAGAGGGTATCTATTTAAAAATAATAAACAATAAATTAAAGCTTACACCCAAATAATTTCTCATTTAATGATCCTCAGTGCTTCTAATTAATGATTGTGTGTAACAGTCTAAAGAAATAACATGAAGCTTAACAGCATTATGCATTTTGATAAGCGGTTACGTGCTTTAGCAGCAGCACCTCCATTAAAAATTTCGACCAGTGGTGTGATAGTTTTAAATGGGCACTTATACGAAGCAAAAAAATAATTCAGATAGGTGGGTGGATGGGTACTAAGTAGTAATACTAATTACAATCAATAAAATGTTCGTACTGGGTACATTATTTTATATATATTACGTCTAATCATTTAATACGTTTGCATATTTGTCGGTACCTGTCAATAAGAATATAATATTAATAGTAAATGACTTAAAATATTTTATCAAACTAGTTAAACCATTTATTGTCGATACAGTGATCGTTCCTATAATT